TATATTCGACTTATGTTAAAAAATAAAGGCTAAAAGACTTGGGCATGTTGTATAATAAAAAATCTTAATTTAATAGAATTAAATAAAAATATGACACTTAATAGGACACAATGAAGAAAAAAGAATTCATGTAGCCGACCCCACGTAGTGGGATCTGAATTTTTATAAGTAACTTTTTTTATAAGTAACTTTTCATTATTTATATTAAAAAAAACCCAAGGGCAATATATTAAAGAGAAAAGATACAGATAGGTTGTGTGAATGGGCTCAAATGGGCATTCAACCCACATGGTACAACACACACAAAAACGTCAAAAAGGGTACATATAAAAAACAAAAAAACCCAAAACCACTAGGGTGAGGAAAAAATGAGGGTCATCCCAATTTAGTTCTGCCTCTACCTTTAGTTCTCGGAAGGGATCCAGTTAACAAATTGGTAAGGTGTGTATCATTACCCGAAGTAACCAAAGCATCATCCATAAGATTCATGAGCTCAAGTAGATCTCAATTATTCTTCTTCCTCCTGGAAGTGTAAACCTATCATTCCTCATCCGAAGAATCAGTCTGATGAGGTGGTAGAGTTGTAGCGTAAGAATTACTAATCGTTGTACCCACAACAAGTTCTAGTATATGTGAAGTATGAGTTGCCTCTACACCAAATACTTCTTGAAGATGGGGAGCTGCGAGGTTCTCCTGAGTATTAGTCTGAACACTATCCTTTGTAGGTAATAGTCATTCAGTGTTGTTTTCAATAAGGTTTGAAGGTGTAGGTTGCCCAACAGAGCCATCCAGCATCACATCAATCACAATAACAACAGTGTCAGTGGAGGGGGGGTCCACAAGGGCAACAGACACCTCTTGTCTTATGGTAGTGTCCTCCACAGATATAACTAATATGTCTAGAGCTGTGGGGTTAGACCCATCCTTATTCACTTGGACCTTAGATTTCAATTAGGATGGAGCTTGTGACATTTATCGGTATGCCCAAACATCTTACAGTGAGCACAATAAAGAGGTCTGTGTTTCATGACGATTTGTTGCCAATATCCATTATGAGTTGTACCCAAACAGACTTCAGTAACATCAGGTAAAGTAATATCTCTTTCCACAAGTATTCTGGCCACAAAATGTGGTTAAATTGAAAGTGGGTATATCTAACTTCAAAGGATCCCCAAGAATGACCCTAATAAAGTAGAGAACCTGATGATGAAAAAAAAGCAGCTTGAGACAAGGTAGACTAAACTATACCGGTATAGTGGGAGTTTCATGATTTGGGTCAAAATCAGGAGACCGCTTGAGTAACTTCATTGACTTGCCTGCAATATTAAGATATTTCTTGAAGAAAATTCGGGTGTAGTCTTCAGCCACGGTTAGTTGAATCAACACATGTCTCTCATCTATGAGTCTCACTTTCACTTGTCTACTAGTTTAAGATCAACACATTTTCTGATAACTTCTATAGGTGGGTGCCCCCACTGAAATTTTTCAATAAGAGCAAATTTGAATTTCTCCGTCATAGTTGAAATTTTTAAGTAAGAGAAAAAAATTACTGCTTTCCTACTTTTCATGTTTCCCTTCTTAACAAAGGACAATCACCTGTACCATCACGACAATCCTTATAACTTGAGGGGAAGACAACCACAGACTCCACTTGAGGGTTACCCACCACGTGGGCCAATGAGACTTTGTCATATTCAACCAAAGAAGAAGGGAGCGCCATCAGAGCAGCGGATCTGTCGGCCTTGTTGTCGGGTAAGGAGAGGCGCAGACGCTGCATAGTGTCAAAGCAGCGAGAGTCGACGAAACTGTGCGAGAGAAGGAGAACGACACAGACGAGCCGGACGAAGACGCGAGCTGCAACAGAAGTAGAAGCAGATGCAGACGAGTCGTCGACCTCGAAGAGACGTCGTAACGTCGGGATGAAGCAACAAGAGTCGACGAAACAGGTGACTCAAACAACGAGTGCGAGATACGACAGGTGCATATTAGGGCATACCTATATCATCTCGGGATAAAACACACACACACACACAAATATATATATATATATATATATATATATATATATATATAGTAATAAAGAATGGTCAAAGGCTATTATACAAGCCTCCAGCCATCCTTAATGTGTCTAACAATTTGAGTACCATATCCTTAAAGCCAACAGTACCAGATGAGATTCAAACCCCTAACCTAAGAGGTTTTATACCGTGAATGTCAACTAACAGTACCATCAATGTTTAGGTTTTAGATACATAAATATATAAAAATTGTGTGATGTATATGCAAATCTTTCATCATAATAAACTTTATAATCAATGAATGTACTTTGAAATTAAAGCTACATAAAAATAAATCAGAACTAATTAATCACACATTACACTCATCTAAAACAAATTCAACAAGTCAAAAACCCTTTCTCATAACATAGGACTTCTCCTACCCTTTATTCTAAACCATTCTTTATAATGACACGTGCCTTTCCAAAAGAAAATGCCAACAAGATTGAAGCTCCCTCAAAAATAATCATAATATTCCAAAAAAATAATATTTTTTTTTACAGATAGCTTCATAATGAACAACAATTCAACCCAAAACTTCCACATCCAACTCATTCTCTGAGCAAAACATAAAAAAAGCATTTACATACGCACCACCCAATTCTCAAGTATTTACATATCTAACACCTAAACCTTACTTTATACATTTGTACCACTCATATCTGTCATATCACTTCAAAAAAAAAAAAAAAACACTATTTTTAATTTTTAAGAAGTGGAACACATCTTTTCATGCATACGTCTGGTGACACGCATGTAAAAAATTGAAGTTTAGATACAAGATATGTAAATAAGAATTGAGTGGTATTTATGTAAATCCCCCAACATAAAAATGGGAAATTTACATACCTAACACAAAATTCTTATGCATTTACATATCTCACACCTAAACTTTCATATTTACGTACATATCACTTCGGTGCTTTAAAAATATGCATTTTAATTTTAAAAGTGATACAGGTGCTATTTTCGATGTGATATTAAAGATTTAAGTGCTACGCTTGTAAATATGAAAGTTTAACAGTGAGATATGTCATGTAAATACATAAGAAAATGAGTGGTATTTATGTAAATCCCCGCAACAAGAAAAAGAATGAACAATTTTTAACTCTCTGAAGGGGTCTCAATCAGCCTAACCGTGCGAGGCAAAGTGAATTCAGCAAATACAGGATAGCGAGAAGAAGGATAAAAGCCATCAATATTATCATTGACTACCTCACAGGAAGCTGGAGCTAATGAGCGCCCTCTGTACAGAATCCAATCAAGATGGAGGTCCTGAGTCTGACGATCCCAGCAAAGGCAGAGAGCCCTAAATATCAATTTCAAAAATTCAACGGCTCCTTGTTTGTCTCCTGAAAGAGAGAATGATACAATATTAGAGGAGCTAAGAAGTGATATGGATCAAATATTTCGGATTGTTATCGCAGAGTGCAACTGAGTCAGGCTGAGCTTGAGCTCGGACGGACCTTTGAACCCGTGGTATGTGTGTATGAGTGAGACGTTTTTTCTGGTACGGGCATTGGGCCAAACATCTCTCATGTCTCCAACAACTCCGTGTTCTCTATGGGAGATTAGACAAATAAAATATAAATGGCCAAGATGCATAGATATAATTCATCAAAATTAAAAAATTAAAAAAAAAAGACTCCCAATGAGGTTGAAAAGAATCTCTCAAAGAATATGATAATGTATGAAGTTGAAAGTAGCAGCCGAACCAACCTCTTTTTTTAAAGAGGGCAAACACCGCCCCTGCATTCATGCTTAACCTAAGGGGCAATTACATATATATCGCTCAATTCTTGCGTATTTATATATCTAGCACATAAATTTACTTTTTGACATACATACCAACCAAAATTTTCATATCACATGAAAAAAAAATCACTATTTTAACTTTTAAAAAGTGAAATACATCTTTTCATGTATTGGAAGGTGTTGTATATGTAAAAAATTGAAGTTTAGATGTATCACAAGGTTGTATATTAGGTTCATTATTAGAGACCCTGCCCTTCCTATAGGTTAATCAGCCTTACCACAGAAGGTTGTTTTAGATGGAGCAGAACTTTCAGAGTCCCAGCAACTAGTTGAGAATCCCATCTCAAATTCCCTCTTAAATATGATACAAAATAAATAAGTAAATGAACTAGAACAAAATAATTTGACTATAGAAAGGTCAGAAATGCTCTAGGGTGGTTTCTTACTTTAACAACACAGCGTAGGGGATGATCACTACTCTTAGTTTAGTTTAATTTACAAATAAGCCACTAATTTTTAAGATATCATAAACGTAATCCTATCAGGGATATCATATAAAACTATAAAAAATGAAATTTACAACAAACTATAAATAAATAAATAAAACAGCTAGGGTTATGCAATAAAAAAATAGTTAAATATATAGATAAAGGGTTGGAAAGTAATACATCATGTAGTAGGGTTGTAAATCTTCATCTCACTAAACAAATATAGAATGAAACACATTATTCATATGCAAAAGTAAATGACAAATGAATGAAAATCTGCAAAAATTGTTACAATATAAGAACAATGGAAAGGAACAATTTGCAACCATCCGAAATAAAGGAAGATATAAAGTAAACTCATTAAAACTGCAATGATAAAGGGCTGAAATAGGAAACATGGATTAAAGGGATGATTCCATGTATATTTCTAAGGAAAAGAAAGAAAATAACAAAAAAAGGAAAAAATATAAGCCTGTCTTAGCTATAAAACTATAAAGCACATCATGTATAATTAGATGAAAAAAAAATGATAGCTGTTTGCATAGAGCTATTTTAGTCCCATAATTTATAGTGTCAAGTTAATTTCTAGAATCTTTAAATTGGGGCTGAAATAGCACTTCAAGGCTACACTATTTATGCTCATATTAAACATAATGGAATTATACCTGGTTTCATGACAAATCCTAAGTAATGCTGCTTGGAATTCAGCAAAAAAAAAAATGCTGATAGTTATGCCAGAGTTTCAGAGTTTCAAAAAATTCAAGCATGATACCAGAATTAGTTGGCCTTCTTTGCAAAATAGGGTGAATTGTTTATCCTAGTCAGTAAATTTTTAGCCCATCACAAGTTTTCGCCAAAAGACCAAAATAAAGGAATTTCTATGCAAATATCTCCAATAAGACTGTAAAGTGTCAGATAGAGAAAAATATCCAAGGAACATGCATGTATAAATTACACTGAACATATAAATTACAGCTCCATGATGAGAAGCATGCCGTATAGGAATTTAAGAAATTAAGTTTCCCTTTTCCACAATCATGGCGCTAAGCAATTAAAGCAAATTTTGTTTTTTCAATGAACTCTTTTATTAGGCTTACTCTGTAACCTTTTAACAGAAGAAACACAATTTTCTTTGATATTTGTTTTAATGTAGATTGCGTATTTGTTCATTTATTCTTTCATAGGATGAAATAAACAAACTAAATGAGCATTAATGTCAACATTACATTTTATTCTATTTAAATTCGTGCAGTAAAAAAAAATGAAGTTCCCTTCCATGTAAAAAAAGAGAAGATTTACATACATATCACTCAATTCTCTGTATTTACATATCTAACACTTAAAACTTCAATTTTTACTTAAATGCAACATTACCTATGCATGAAAAGGTATCAATGTGAAAGATTTAGGTGATATAAATGTTAAAAAGTAAAGTTTAGGTGTTCGATATGTAAATGCATAGAAATTGGGTGGTAAGTATGTATACAGCCCTGTTAAACTAAACGGTAAACATGAACTAAAATCAAGAACAAGCCGCGATACAGACTTTTCTTCATACCTCGATCTCCCGAGAAGAAAACGCCCGGTGGTAGATTCCTTTTGCGTGTTAAATCCTCCACAAAATATAACTGGTAAGTTTGGAGGCAAGGATGCAATGTGCTGCCATGTGAGCAAGGCGCTACGTCTACGTGCACGAGGACTGAATTCATCAAAATAGGTATTTACAATCTGGAAGCTAAATCCCGGTGGTTCGACTCTCTTAAGATGGAATGTGTAGATACCATTGTCAAAGAAACACAGTTTAGGTAAGCTTCACAGAGATTAAAAAAAGAGAGAGAAATGTACATAATACCACACAATTCTTATGTATTTACATATCTAACACCTAAAGAATCATATATACATTTATAACACATTGATGTTAAAAATCTATCCACAAAAAAGTGCATTTAACTTTAAAAAGTTAATAAAAGTAGTATTTTTTATGTCATGTTAAATATTAAAGTTTAGGTGTTAGCTATGTAAATACATAAGAATTATGTGGTATGTAAATGCCCCAAAAAAATACATTTAATGTCTAAAGGATATCCCCCAGGTAGCAATACAGGGCGCTGACGATCCCCACGAGATGCTTCCTGGAATAGAGGGTGATTCTGACAGCCAAAAAGTACCGCCTTCAAGAAGTTCAACCTTCATGAAACATGACAACTTCAGTTTTTAGAAGATTTACGTAAATAGCACACAACTCTTATGTATTTATATATCTGACATCTAAACTTTCATATTTACTCATATAGCAGTCAAATCATCAATATCACATTAAAAATAGCACTATGACCACCTTATAAAAGTAAAATACACCTCATTTATAGATTTAAAGCACCAAAGTGCTAAGTATGTAAATATGAAGTTTAGTTGTTTGATATGCAAATACATAAGAATTGTGTGCTATGTCTGTAAATTTCCCTTTAGTTGTTTCTTGATTTAGATATCTATTTTTCGTTCAAAGATAAACAAATGGTTTTAAGAGAATTTTCTAAAAAAGTAAGATTACATGAGCCAAGGTTTATAACCTTCTCCTTATCATAGAAGATAGTACAGTGTTCATCAATAATGTCCTCCGAACCCTTTCGAGAAATACCAAATTGATCATAACCTGCAATCAGAGGAAAATTTCAATGATTTGGCATCTATCTGTCCAGAGAAGTGATACTTGTGGGAAAATTTATGGCCTTATTATATATTATTTGCATGCAATTAAATAATTTAAATGGAGAAAAAACAATCGTATATTAGCAAGAAGCACATCCCTAACAATAATGGTACAATACTGCTAATTACTTCATTCAATTACAATAATGCATAAATATCAAGCAACGAAAGTACAAAATACGTTTAAAAGGGAAATTTGCGTACACACAACACAGTTCTTATGCATTTACATATCTAACACCTAAAGTATGATATCTACATTTATAACACCTCAATATTAAAAACCTATGCATGAAAAGGTGTATTTCGCTTCTAGAAAGTTGGTGATGGTGGTATTTTTGACGTGATGTCAAAGATTTGAGTGTTATGCATGTAAATATAAAAGTTTAGGAGTTAGATTTGTAAATATATAAGAATTGTGTGATATGTATGTAAATGCCATAAGTTTAAAATGTGGAAACTTGATAAAATATTATTAAATGGTGTGCTAACAATTGCCTAAAATAAAGGAATAACATGTACTCAAAGATGTAAGTGAGGATTTAACAAACCAGCTACATTAACTAATAGAGAAATTACATATTTCTTGCATAATTTCCCAATACACATCAACATCACCCACTTTGTTGCTAAATTTAAGTAGTCATTGATCTCTGGCTAACTAAGGTGCTTTATTAGCATCCACCAAAAAAAGAAAAAATATTACATCCAGATGACCTACATCTGAATTAGGAGTGTATGTTGTTATTGATAGTATTGTGGTGTTATTTGGTAAAATAACACCACAATACTACCATCTGCACAAGAAACTACATCATGACTCGTGATGTAATATTTTCTCCTATAATATCAAAGATCCAAAATAGCTTTAAGTAGCAAAATCAGAAAAGTGTCAAAATGGTCCCTCTGACTCTTCGCAAGAGTTTAGCAACAGAGTTTACAAAAAATGTCCATTTAGTCCCCATACTCTTAATATGGGTTGAAACAATTCTTAGTGAATGCTATTTTAACCCTCATTAAAAAATTCTGGGAACTAATTTAAGACTTCTATAAATTTTGGGACTAAAACAGTCTTATGTAAATGGTTAGAAGACTATTTTGGAGTTTTACTCTCAAAAAAATTATGACTAAATTTCAACCGTGAGTTCCAAATTAAACAAGAAAGAACAGACAAACATTCAAGCAAAGCACACAAAAAGCATGCAAAACATGGCAAGCATACCACCCAATTCTTATGTATTTACATATCTAAAACCTAAAACTTTCTTTTTACATTTATACCACCCAAATCTTTCACATCACACTAAGAAAGAAAACATTGCATTAACTTCTAAAAAGTGAAATACACCTTTTTCATGCATATGTATATAAAAATTGAAGTTTAGGTGTTATATAAATACAAAAGAATTGAGAGGTATGTATGTAAATCTTCCAAAAATAAATTGTACTGTCAAAATATGGGATCAGAGCAAACAGCATTGTCTAGTCCTATCTTTCCTTCCCATCGGTCAATTAAATATTGTCCTAGTCTGTTTCTCTCCCTCTTGCCAGAGCAAATAGCAAAGATTTTACAAGTAGAATTCAGTTATCAACACCACATCAAGCTTAGAACAAAGAATAAGGATCACCTGGCAAGCACTGCTGTAAGAACTCCAACTGCCCCTTCAAACCTATCCAACAAGTAAAATCAGCACAAATTACACCAACCGACTCGAGTGAAATCCACTTCTAAACTCAAAACAAAAATACCATAACAAAATCAAACAAGAAATTGAAGTAGGACCTTGCTGTGTGCAGAGGATGGTAGGTGAGTAGTTGGCGATCACGCTAACGCAGATCTCCCTCCTCTTCTCCCACGCGTTCGGGCTGTCCGCCGGCAGATCTCCATCGGAGAGATTCAGAGTCATCACCGTAATCGATACGCTCATCCTTATCCACCCAACTCTCGCCGATTACAGAAAAATAATGAAAAAAACAACAGATTACAGCTTCTATGTCAGACATATAATCAAACTCCTTACAGAGCTCTGTAAGGACATGATCGGAAGGGGACGGAGGAAGATCCGTCCCTTGGGGCCTTAAAAACCCTAATTCTTGTGCTCAAACAGAAGTAGAAACTAGAAGGAGATGAGGAGGAGAGGGAAATCCGATGCCTAGTTCATTTGAAGGGCGAGATGTGGAGAACTTTTTGTGAAAAAATGCTGAAGAGCTGAAGCTTAATGGAGAAACGATGCATGCGGGGGCGCGTACAAAGTTTTTTTGCGAAGATTTTCATACATTCCCCATCATTTCTATGTATTTACATATAAATACCTAAATTTTGTTTTTTAAATCTATATTATTTTATATATATTTGAAAGAGATTTTGACCTTTTCTTTTAATTTATAATATTGAATCTTTATGTAAAGTATTGAATATACGAAAATATATAGTTATTTGGTATGTTCGTAAATGTCCCCTCAAGAAAAAAAGGTTTAATTAGTAATTTTCATGAATGTTCTAATTATATATAGCATAAAAATAAATACATAAGAATGTAATTAGAAAATGTATGAAATATTCTGCCAAAAAAAGGCAAGATAAATAGTTGAAAATGAAGGACATTTTGACAAACTTTATAAGATAATTATAATATATTGTAATTAGAAAAGATATGAAATATTCTTCAAAAAAGTGAAGATAAATAGTTGAAAATGAAGGGCATTTTGACAAACTTTATAAGATAATTATAATATATATTTTGGTAGAAGAAAATCATGTTATTATATAATATTAGGGAAGATTCATCTAAAAAATTAAATCAAATTAATCAAATATATTTGATGTGTGCCAGAGATTCACGGCAGTAGAGTAATTATTTAACGTCTTGATATTATTAGATGAAGATTCAACACATACTCAATTAGTTAAAGTGACAGATAGAGACGCCAGAAAGTTTTACATGAAAAGCTAGGAAAAGAGTAAAAAGTCACAGTCAAACACACTTGAAATAATTCACTATATAATGACAAGCACAAATTTACGCTTCTTCTCCTGAATCAAGAAAAATAGAATTATAAATTTAATCATCATAGAATTACAATAGTAGTTCATTGATAAAAGAGATAATCTGGCTTAGTTCTTAGTAATAGCAGACAACAAGAGTCGAGGTTAGTTGTTATGGAGGCAATAGCCCGTCGTGAATGTGGTTGATGTGATTGTAGTGTTAGTTTGTTGTAGAGATTATAATTGGAAGCTATGGTGATGGATGGTCGTGTGGGTCATATATGGTTGCTTAAAAAACATCAGTTGACCATAGAGGTCGTGGTAGGGAGTTGCACCAATATTTTTCGAGGGTAAAGGTCTTATTTGGGAGTTGTGTGAGCTGAGAGTTGTGTGGGTTGTAGTTAGTCACATATGTCATAGTGGGGAGTTTTAATAAGGTCTCTAAGCCGCAGATGCCCGAGTTAGGAGCTCTATGAGTTTTGATAACATTCGTAGACCACATAAGTCTAGTTTGGGAGTTGCATGAGTTGTGGACCACGTAAGTCGTAGTTGGTCGTGTA